TTATAAAATTATAAAATTATATTTATTTAATAATATTTTTTACGAGAATCTAGCAGGTTCACCGTTCAGCGCGGTTCACTCGATTTTCAGTGCTAGACAACTAAAAGCGACCCCAATATTAATTAAAAATAAGACTTAAATATGTTTTTAATTTTTTAAATTTAAGGTAAATTTATTTTTGTTCTTTAAATTTAAAATTATTATTTTTAGTCTATAATTTTAAAAAAATTTATTTTAATTTTTATATTTAAATTTTGTTAAAATTTTTATCAAATATTATTACATAAAATTTATTTATTAGTATTTTTATTAGTAAAAATATCATATTTAATCTGGTTAATATTGTATAATTATCTTAATTAATCACTTTTAAATATATTATCGGTGATCTAAGGGACTAAAATAAAATTTTAAAAATTACATGAACTAAAAAATAGTTTTAAATTTAAGAGACCAAAACCAAATTTACCTTAAATTTGAGGGACTAAAATCATATTTAAACCTTAAAATAATTACGCATACACGCCCTCAAGACAAAAATAAAAAAAATGTGATAAATATTAATTTTACCCTAACACAATAGTAACAAATAATAAACAAAACCATTATAGTAAGTTTATTATAACTAATAATTTGACAGTAAAATAAATATACCCACACTAGCTGCCTACTCAGGAATCGAGAGGAGCACAGGCCGCCAAGCTCTCCTCAACAGCCGCTGCCGGAACGCCGACGTCCCGGCGGCGCCACCGCGCCGGAATCTTGACCCGGTTCGGAATCGGAAGGTGGGGCCGGTGGCGGCGGAGGATGGGGGCAGCCCGTCGTGGTCGTGGCGGTTCTTGATCGGCGGCGGCGGCGGGGAGGAGAGGAGCAGGTCCTTGAGCTTGGAGCGGACTCTGACGTCGGCGTCGGTGGTTTCCGGCGGGTCGTGGTGGAGGAGCATGCGGAGGGTCTTGCGGCGGCGGAGGCGGAGGACGGGGCTGGCGGTGGGGCTCTGGGTGGTGGCGGCGGTGGTGGTGGCGCAGCGCGTGGCGAGGAGCTTGAAACTCTGAAGAGTGGTGGGCATTTGGATTGGATGGGATTGAAAAATAGAGAGAGAGAGAATGAGAGAGTGAGATGTTAGAGTGAGAGTGGTTCGGTTTTCATTTCACGAGAAACCGAAACCATGAAATTAAATTCGACTACTTATGATGTTCGGTGGGATATTTAAATTCTTAAATTAAATAAGGTTGCTACTTTTTTGTTTCTGTATTTTTATCATCAAACAAATAAATGATCATGAGTTTTTTGGTAGGTATTTAATTTTATAAATTTAATGGCTTTAATTTACGTTGTGCTAGTTTTTATAAGGTTAATTATGGAGAAATGATATTATATATGGATGATTTTAGAGATTTTGTTGTTGATTGATAATATAAAAATCCATGATGGTAACTAATGTATGTAATATTAAGACTTTATTTGAATGAATTAAGAGATTTTTTTTTTTTTTGGGTTCAGTTTAGTTGAGTTGATTGAATAATATTAATAAATTATTATAAATTTATTTGTACTGAGTTTTGGATTTATGAATAAAAGAAAACTATTTGAATAAACTTTTTTTATGCACTTTTGTGTTTAAGTTATACTTGTATAAATCTTTTAATGAGTAATTATAAAAAAAAAATTAAGCTTATACATAAATTAATATCTGTTTATATATATATATATATATATATATATATAACTTTACCTATTTTATCTTTTTATTCATTCTCCAATAACTTTATTTAAAAATTATCTAAATAGAAATCAATAAATAAGAAATAAATTAAGTTTCATAATAAAATCAATTTATATGCTTTTAACACTTATAAAAAAATTCTCTCTCTAACTTATCCACAAACATGAAATAGATAAATTAATTTCAATTTATTTTATTTTATCTTATTATTTACTCATCTTATAACTCAGTACTTGTAAAGAATTACTCTTATTTTATTTTATTTCTCAACGGCGTTATAAAATTTGATCTAGTGTTTGGTTAGAGTTATCGTCTTTCCGAGGCATGGTGAAAACGGTAAGAATGTTTTTAGCATTATTCTGTTTTGTTTTTTTGGTAACGTTTTTTTTTTTTTTTAACCAGCCTTCTTCTGTTTCGCACTAGCCTTATTTTAATCAACTTTTTTTTTAATGTTTTTATTTCATTTTTTATAGTTATTTTTATTTAGTCCGAAAACAACTTAAACAAGTAAAAGGAAAGTTCTTTTTCATTAAACATTTTTTTACGTCTTTCTAACTCGGAGCAGATAAATAGATAAATCATAGAGGAGTCAAATTATTATTTAAACATTTTTTTCACATTTTCTTTCTTTCAAAAAAATAAAAATAATATATATATATATAT